GGCTGCCCTTTGGATTGACCTCCACTCCTGTTGTTTTCTCCCTCTGTAGGAAGATAAAGCAGAGGAGAGGTTTTTAAGAGCAAATAGCGCTCAAACAAAATCCGATTGGAAAAGGATCGGCTTTGGCTCAGAGTCCATGAGCTTCGGTGCTGTAATTAGCACAGGGCTGAGGGTGATGAGCCGGGTAGGAGAGCACCCAGACGTGGAGAAGGAGACCTCAGTTTCCTCTTCAGGTCTGTGATGGGGGCACTTCGACCCAACGGTGTTGGTGCTCCTGGGGCTGCCTCGGCTCAGCTCTGTTTGCAGCCCCAGGATTTGCAGGAGAGCTGCTGGGCTGGGACAGCTCTGCTCGTGGCACCATCCGTGAGCCCCAAGCATGGGAAAGGGCCCCTGGACGAGGAGAGGGAGGGAGGGAGGAGGAATGCAAGTCTGGAGAGGAGAAGCGGAAAATGCTGCGAGCTAATCGGGGCAGGATTAGCATGTCTTGATAAGCCAAGATGGGCCTGCAAGGCTTTGAATCCAGGGAGAGCAAGAGCATATGGTTCCTGTGCTGTAGGATTTACTTGTATCTGCTTCCACGCAGGGCTGCTGGCTCGCAGCAGTGCTCGCTGTTTCCAGTGCTAGCTGCAGCCGGGACTCCTGCTCTCCTCTGGCCAGCATCACCTTGGCTCTCCACTGCAATCCACCCAGCTTCCCCGGCACTGCCCAGGCTTTCTGGAGACTGGGGCTGACTGAGGAAGAGTGTTTTGGGGTGGCCATAGTGTTTGTGCCACCATAGTGCAGGAGCAGGGGTCAGCAAGCATCTCAAGGGAACGAGCCCACTGCTGTTGATCGCTGCTCTCGGGAGGTCTCTGGCTCACACGATCTCTTGCTGTTCTTTGTCTCTCCTTCTCCCCCTCTCCAGCTGCAGAGGAGACGTTCTCCTTTAAATACAGTCCTGGAAAGCTGAGGGGAAACCAGTACAAGTCAATGATGACCAAAGAAGAACTCGAGGAAGAACAAAGGTAAGTTGAGTTTCCATTTTCTTCTTGCCCAAGGCCATCTGGTTGGCATCCTCTTGAAGCAAGCTGGGTGTGTTCAGACCTCTCTCTCCCCATACTACCTTGGTAGCCTTGGGTTCAACGTCGCATTGCACCGTGGTCCAGACCTCTTTCACTCAGGAAGACGGGAGAACAAATAAAGTCACACTGATTTAGGAGATGGAGACACCATGGCCCTATATACCTTTGGAGCTGTTCACACTCCTTCTCTGGACGCTTAGACCAAATTTTCCAGCTGATGCAAGCTGGTGTAGTTCCCCTGATCACGTTAACACCACATTGATTTACATCTGTTGAGGACCTGATCTCTAGCTACCTCCCCTCCCTTCACCCTGTGGATGGCCTCCAAACTGAGGACATGGGCATAGCTCAGAAATACTGGAGTGAAGTGAGTGTGGAGCTTTGGAGTTCACTGTGATGAGGCTGAGACTGGAAATGTCTGTACCCAGGGCTGGCTCCTCAGCTGTAAGTGGTGGGGATTTGCCACGTAGTGGGCCTGGTAAAGATGGAGAATTGTCCATCTTGCACTTTTTGCTAGAGTTTCCCCCTGAGCCTGAACCCTGCATGAAGAAAGGAAGAGCCTGTCCTGTTACCAAAAACAAGCTTTCTAGCTCAAGATTTCCCAGCCTATACAAGGGAAATCAACGCCAGTCTTGCATTTCGAGCTGCAAAGCCCTGTCCAAAGCCAGACCGTGTTGTCAGCCTGAAGTCTCTGCTCACGTACGGAGGGAGCCCTTCAGCCCACGGGCATGCAGAGCCCACGCTAAGCCAGAGTTGCCAAACCCCACAGCCAAGGGCTTTGCCCTACAAGCAGACTCTGTGGCAGGCTGCTCCCCAGCAGATATGTGCAGCTCAAACCCCTGCCCTCTTGGGCGACCTGCAGGGAACTGGTTTCCCAGTGGTGGCTTAACAAGCATGGGAGATGTTGTTCTCTCCGTCGCTGTCCCAAGGGCTGCAAGACCCCCGTCTTCACGCAGTGGCGTGCACCTCCTAGAACAATTTGGGGGAATTTGTCACCCCTTGCCTGTGATGCCGTGGTCTAAGTACCACCACAACTGGTATGGTGTAAAGGCCTGGCACGGACCAAGTGGAAACTTGAGCGCAGGAGGGAAGGCAAGGATGGAGGGATCACACCTCGCCCCTGGGTCAGGCATGCTCCTGCTAGCAAGCCTCGTGTCGAGGCCCTTGGGCAACATCTCTGCGTTGGCAGCGGCTGGGCTAGCCGAGGTTTGTCTCCGTGGTGTGAGCAGGGCATTGAGGTAGGCAGCGTAAATGCAGAGACCTGCGCAAGGGCTGGCACTGACACTCGCTCACTCTGGTCCTGGGAAAGTCGCAGGTGATGCACGGAGCTCCGTGTAGGCTGCCTTCACTAGCCGAGCCTGCAGCCATTCTTTCCATGTCAAACCCGAATTTCCCAACAAGAGATGTCTTGCCTTTCTCCCTTGGCTTCTGGGCTTCCAGTTGTCCTCAGATCTTGGGCTTCACCTGCCTTATAGCACTGCCAGGAGCAAAGACCTGCAAGGGCTGTGTGCTCTGGGGTCAGCAACAGAAATGAGCTCTGGTTTCTTCTGGCATGGGGTTGATTCTGCATTGGTGGCATCAGGAAAAATGTTGTTTGCTTTCTTCCTTTTGTTAAATGTTTATCGTGCCTGCAACCCCCAACCTGTAAAACGCTAAGCAGGTCTGTTAGTGTGCCTGTATTTTTCACTTGGGGAGGGTGGTGGTGGAATGAACTGAGTGAATGTGAGAGAAACCCGTGGGGCTCAATGGGAATTGCTTTTCAGGATCCTGCTAAGCACCAATGCAAAAATCTACCTGCAGCAGACAAATTCAAACCCTTTGCACCAGCAGCTCCGTCCAAACCAGCTGAGCGATCACTCCTCAGGTTTTCAGGGCCAGGAGTCCTGTAGGGCCTTGGGCTGGTTCCTTTGTGGTAACAAATGGTCCTGCTGTCACCTGGGGACATTGAGGGGACATCGCCTACGGACAGCAGCGGCATGGGGTTTTGTACTCAGGATGGTAGAACAGGCTCCAGAGGGTGATGGACCTTTCCTGAGCATGCGGGGCCTCGTAGGCATCGCTGCTTATGTCCGTCTGGCGTGGTCCTAGGGCAGGTCAGTGCACCTCAAACTGATGGACAGTGCCAGGGCGTTGGGTCCCTTGGAGGCTCTCGGCAGCCTTCCACGCTGAGGGCCATTGACAGATGTGTTTTTCCTACCGCTCCTTTATTTTCTTCTCTTCCATATTTGTGTTGTTCATTTCTTTAAGGCAGCTTTGTGAATTTTTTTTATTTTTTTTTTTGTCTTGCTTTGTTGCTGGCTTACTTTTTCCCCCTCAAATCTTTGCTGTGGCATCAGCAGCTTTTCATTCCAGGCCTTGCAGGTGGTGTAAGGGGGCAGGGCTGCTGCCAGGTAAGCTCCCGGGCAAGCTGAGCGCAGCGGCTCAGCCCAGTCCTGCATCCTTCTCCCTCGGCAGTCCCATCCCTCTCCCCGACGCCATGCACTCCAACCACGCTGCTGATCTGCTGTGACCCAGGTTTGCCACCTTTATGTTGCAGGATTGAGCTGACCTCTGATCTCACATCTCTGTAGCAAGTACCTTAGGTCCTCGGCCACAAACATTCTTGCAAATCTTTTTGGTAAGGATGCGCTGTTTCTTAGAAGTAGTGGTACCACTGATAACATCTGCTAATGTGGGGTTGGGGTTTTTTTGTTTGGTTTTGGGTCTCATTTTCTGGGGGAGGGTTTGTTTCTGAGCTGGAGTTGACTGCCTGTCCCACCTCCCTCCCCACCTCCCTCCTCCTTCCCTCCTCATAACAGATTAATGAGTCCGTTCCCCTCTGCTTCCATCTCGCTTTCCATCAGCGCTCCGGGGGGAATGGGTTCGGATGCTTGCCTCTTCCGTCTTGCATGCCTGGAGTTGGACATCGCACATCCCACAGCCACTTCTGGTTACTGATTTGGAAAATTAGGGCTGCTGAGTGAGTGGGTAGTTAGTCCTAAGCTGTGGTGCCAAAGCTGAGACAGGCTTAGTCTTTGCTTTTAGCCCTGTCACTCCTCCAGTTTTCCCATGGACCAACAGGTTCCCCTGTGAAGCTGCTTGTAAGCAACATCCAAAAAATGCAAGTGGCTCCCCCAGACCCCCTTGAGGCTACTTGTTGTGTTGATCAGTAGTCCACAAGTATTAATTTAGAGACCCCTAATTTTGGAGGTGCCATTGAAAGAATTACTTGCCTTTTCCAGGAAGAGCTATAGACTCCAGGTGGGAGAGGACAGGCATGCAGTAGATTGGGTTATTTATGCAAAAACACACTTCTGCTCTAACATGCATCATTCCAGAAGTTGTGGTTGTCTTTCCTAGTATTCACTTGAGTCTTGTGGCTTCAAACTGGTGCTAAATCTAGACTAAAAGGGGAAGGAATGTGACCTTTACTGAGTGATGCAACTTCCTGCTTCTGGTTACTTCAGTCTTAAAAAATAGAGGGACTGCTCAGTAAGGGAGGAGGACGGTAAATCTAGTTGGCAAATACATCTGCTGGGGTGGTGGCTGTGCTTGATCACACCTGGTGGGTTGCCAATGCTTCTAGAGCAGAAGCACGTAGCGTTTGCTCCCCGGGGGGAGAAAAATAGTCTGGGCAGGAAGGGGAAGAGTGCAGGGGAAGGATGTAGCCCTTAGTCAAGGCAGCACAGCGTGTTTCCCAAATCCTTCTCTTCTGCACCTGAGGCTTTTGGCTATCTATTGCCAACCGTAATTGCCATGGTGTAAAGCAGAAGTTCAGGCTGAAAAATATGACTCATAGCGATGCGGCTTGCCCCTGTTCAGGCAGGGCTGAGTTGTGTAGGTGTGAGACATGACCCATAAAGACTGACTGTTAGATGTTGCTGTCCTGGCTGGGCACCTCGTGCAGATGAAGGAGGAAGAGGAAGGGCTCCCAGTGTGCCTTCAGGGCCTGGCTTGCATGGATGGATTGAAGTGGTTTCTGCCAGCTGCTCTTCAAACCTCCCTTGAGGTTGAAAGAGGTTAGTGGGGGGGTTTTTCAGTTAGAAAGGAGTATGATCAGGTCTCTGTTGAGCATTGACAGCTGCAACAAGGCTCCGCTCATAGTAAAAGAGAAAAATCAGGAGCAACGACTCCCTTGGGTCTCTGCTTTCAGTTCTCTCCTTCCATGAGGCAGAGCAGGTCCCAGTCAAGGCTTGGTTGGCCTCAGTGACGCTGAGGGGTTGAACTGTCTGTGCTCTGTCCTTGCCACTCTTCGCTAGGTGTGTTGGCTGGAGAAAGGAGAGCAGATCGCATCTGACGGTCTGTGGGAAGGTCTCTCCTCTCTGTCCTCTCTCTTGTTTCTGGGATTTAGGAAGAGATGGGGGTGGAGAGCCAGAAGCTGCCCCCTGGGTCCTCAGCTAGGGCAGCCTTGCAGACCCCTGCTCAGGGTCTGAGTGAATGGCACCAAGCTGCTCAGACACGCTCTGCTGTTCACAGGTGTACTCATGGATGGAGCAGGTGATCCCCCAGACCACAGTCCAGCCTCTCTAAGACTGAGGATAAGGTAGGGATGCTGCCCGGTTTCCCTGGCTAATGGGCTCAATTCCCACAGCCAGGCGACCCGTTCTAGGAGCAAATTCTCCTCCTGCCTCTCAGTCCTCTCCTTGCATCTCCTAGCCAGCCATGGATGGATTGAGGAGACGCTGCTTGAATCCAGACTAAATTTAAGCCTAGGGCTCAACTGTAAGTTGGAATTCATGCAAGGGGAATTGGATGGCTGTAAATGTTGCACTCAGTCCTTTTCTTGGTCGTAATTTAGCAATGGAAACTCTTCTCCTCCCCAGCTGGGTTCAGAGTACTTCTTGGTTAAGAGGCAGTGAATAAAACTGGGCTTGGACCCTGGAGTTTCAGCAAGGCAGGGTGCCCTGGATGGACCCTGGCTCTAAGGAATGGCAGAGAGGACAGACCTTTCCCTGCTCTTCCAG